GATATTCCCTGTGGCTGGGGAGTTTTTGAACTACCTGAGGAACTCCATAATGTATAATCTCATTTCATTAACTTTAAGCACAATATTTATTAACTTTGTAGAAATAGTAATACCTCTTTACCCTGCTAAAGGATAATCTTTGCAATTTCTATTAGTCTCATTAAAACTGATTTCTCCTCCTCAATTTCTTTACTGGAAAAAAAATCCCTCTTAATGACTGATTAGTGTACTGTGTAAAGAAAGTTGTGTTGCTTTTTCTTAACTTTTGTAAATGAAATAATAAATCAGACTAGTGAACAAGTGGGTCTATGCATAGTTGCAATATTCTAACTATCACTGTGACAGACTGGATTGTCTGGAAAGTTAGGAGGAAGTAAGAATTATTTCCCGAGTTACTTGCCAAGAGAGGATTAAATTTCCAAAAGTACAGCGGTGTGGTTTCTTTTCATACTCCATGTATGTAAAAAAAAAATTTACAACCACATCCCATATTTTCAAATAAGCGATAGAGAACTGAAAAATACTATTTTTAATCAGTTACCTATCCAGTAAGAATACTGAGGATACTCTGGAAGTATAAAGTTTGTACATGAGAATGTGAAGTATGTTTGTCCATTATAATTTCATGAAGAAGGCATTTCAGGGGAGCTCTTTAGAGAGTAGTTTAGAGGAATTTCAGCTCAGAAAGTGAGATTTTTCTGTGTTATGGGAAATTGAAAAACTCAGTTGGGGCATTGAGATGATGTTTTTTGTAAGTATGCATATATGTTGTGTTTAAATGCATATATGAGGCTAAGTGTTTATTTGCAGGGGAAGGGGTCAGGAAATTATGATGTTTTGGGCTAGCAGAATAAAGTGGAAAAATGGAGGAGATGGGTCTTTCCTAGTGTTTGGTGAGAGCGTAGTTTTCTTTTTGGTACTTGCTTAGAGAGGTTTGCATAAGGGTTTGAAAACATCCTACTGTGGGTTAGGTATGTTTATACAACAGTTGAATTAACATTTTTAGTAGTTTAATATTAAAGAATACTGAATACAGTGTGTCATTTTAAGTAAAATATGTTGCAATAATTGGGGAGGAAATAGTTTATGATGAAGACCTTTGACATTTCAATACCATCATATCAGTGCATCACAAGCATTGGGTGATCTTCACAAATACATGGGACAGGTTTAAATGTGGACAGTTCTTGGGCTCTCAAACTTGAGGCTAGTTTGTGCTCAGCACAAAGCAGCTGCAGAATGAGGAGGGGGGCAGATGAGCTCTGAGCTGCTTTATGCTCCAGGAAGAGTGGCAACATCCATTGCCTTTTGATCTTTTCTCTGGTCCTTGAGGGATGGAAGGTATACACCATCACACACTTGGTGTCCTTGCCAGAGGCCTTCTGGAGAGACCTCCATAGGTTTGAAGGTCTGCACTTTGCCTTTATCTAAAACCAGCTTTAAGTAAAAGATAAAAGTCGTAAGTGTGAGCATTAGCTGGCGTGTTGTTTCTTTTGATTTTAACTTATTTGTATAAAAAGTAGAAAATAATTTTTTAAAAAGAGAAAATAATTTTTCTGATCAGTTGTTTAGGTGGGTTGATTTGCAGTCTGTTATGCAGTGCACTGTGAATTAGTGAACTGACTTCCATAGTTCTTCAATTTCTTCAAGTCAATAAAGCTTAGGATCCCATTTTGTTTGTCACATAGTATTGGTGAAATAAGATTATTCTTTGGTTTTGAACAAAGATTTATTTAACTGTAAAAAGTACAGCTGTGAGATGAGAATTCCAATTAAGAATTTAGAATAAAAAAGTCTTAAGTGACATTTGTTTCATAGCACTACATTTGTCACCATCTTCTTGGTGATACTATTTTTAATTTTTGGAGAAACTCCCAATTATTTATCTATGTTTAAGATGTACTTACCTTTGAAGATGATTAAGTAGGAGTGTAAATATATATATCTAAAAGAAACTGAAAACTGACACGCTTTTCACACCTGTACATAAATGAGATCAAGTAGTTAGCAGTATTGAATAACTTCTCCATAGCACAGTTTTGAGCTTGGATACCAAAGGATATTTAGAAGACATCTCTCCTTTATTTCAAGTAAAATGTTTGCTAAATTTCTCTTTATCAATTTACCTAAAATTCATGATAGTATTTTTAGTTGTCTTTTTATATATAGTGAAGAATCTCATCTAGTCTTTGCTGATTTTGTACTATACAAGCATACAGAAAGTGAAGTGCTTGCTCTTCAACTTAGCATTTGACTTATGCAAGTTTTTCTATATCAATGTACTTGTTACCTATTACTTGCTCATAGGATATCTAGAAACCACGTCTTCTATCATCCAAGTACCTTACCAGCACAAAATAATAATCTCAGTGTTAAACTAATTACATTTCTCCTGATGGTTAATACACATTGTGGAAATTAGGTTTTACTAAGCCTGTTTGATTTAAAAAGAAAGAAAAAAAAAAAAAAAAAAGAAAAAAACCCCAAAGCAACAGAACAAACAAAACACCCACAACTCCACAACTTGCACCCAAAACCACCAAATTAACCTATACCCCCATTACAATTATTTTGCTAATCTGCAACATTGATATAAAGAAGCTTTTTTTTCCCCTCTGGTATATTTTAGATCATGAATATTATCACAAAACAGGTTTATCAAAGTCTTCACAGGCTTTAAATAGCCTAGTCAATTGGCTGTTTTATAAGGATCCTTTTGAAAGTTGTATTTCATTGTCCTTTAAATGAAAGCAAAGAACTAAGTTTCTGCACTGGAAAAATTCTATATGGGACTAGTAACATTGGTCTGCTTTAAGATAGTCCTGCAGGAATGATAAATTTATTTTTATCTGTAATGCACAATATTAAGTAGGTCTTTTAACTCTTGCCTTAGTCAATGGGAGCTGTATACCTCACTTCCCTAAATCATGTCTCCCTCTTCCCTGTTTCCTCTGCAAGTCTTTCCCAATCTTAATTAACAAAATCATTAGAAAATATAAGTCAAGGAACCAAATGCTGTACAAAGCTTTTACTGTGTACATGTATTTAGCTGAAAATATGTACCTATACACAGATTATGGAATGGTAGAGAGCTTTAGAGCTAGAAGGGGTGTAGAAGTGTCGACATCCTTCTGCTCACACATTGAGAGTCTATAGGTACATGCTCTGTATCACCTGAAAGCATTCCTGTCTTCCACTGCTAAAGGCACCTTGCTGGCTAGGATAATGCTGAGCCTACATGCTGTGAATATTTTCCTTTTTTTCCTTTCAAAGAGTTAAAAAAAAAAGGCACACACATATAAATGCATATCCTAATGTGAACCTAAGGCCTGATCTAATACTGTTATATGAAAGCACTACATAGGGTTATACTTAATTGGGTGGAAATTCAAGCATGTGCTTCTAGGTCTTTTTATGCTTTTTGGCTTAAAAGCTATCCCAGTTTCAGTTGTAAACGGGACACTTGTTAGTCTCCTTTGGGGGAGAGTAAGTTTTTGTGGAATCACATGTATGTGGGCTCATTGGATGCCAATGTTAGAGTCAACTGAAGTGTTTGGAATATGTCTTTCCCTCCATCCCAAGGAGCCAATCTTATTACTAATTGCCCTTGTTAACATATACTTTTGAAGGAAGCAAGGGTTTTCTAAAAAGCTACTGCAATTAAAGAAAAACATTTAAAAATTGATAAAATGCTATTGTCCCCTTCTTCACTATCGTAGTCATCAGATGCCTAAATGCAGAAATGCCTCTGAGTGGCACCATAACATGCTCTGCAGTTTCAGTTGAGTGCCATTGACCTTACTGCAGTCTTGAACACCCCACCCCATATGTGAGGAACTGCCCTTTGTTTTGTTTTAATTCACCTTTTTGCTGTGTATCTGTCGAAGAAGACTGGTTATGTCTTTCTTTTGGTTACCATTTACCTACGTGGCTCAGATAAAATATGTGTTTCACTTCTTTTCAATAGAGTTCCTTCAGTTGTGTGTTATTCCTAGTTTTGACTTGGAAAATTTGGCAGGTATGTCCAGACTTTATCTGTGATTATACTCAGCACAGACATAATTTCATAACACGTCTTCTGTCCCAGAAGCATGATTATCAGTGTAGATTATGGTTTAAAGCTGCTAAGATGTTTTGAGATTGGAATATAAAACTTCCAGCCACATACATCACAGATCTAACTGAACCTGAGGCCACTTGTTTATTTAGCTTCCTATCTAGTCAGTATTTTCCTCTCAAGGGAGCCATATTTTTTGCCTTGAAATAACTTTTTAAAATAAACTTAAGTCTTGCACTTGACAGTACTGCTTTAGTCATGCGCAGCTGTGAGCTGTTGCTTAAAGAAAGCCATGAGGGGAAAAAAGAACTCAAGGAAAACTTGCAATAAGTATTCTGATTCAAACCTTTACTATGCAGGAGCAGCTTCATATAAGATTAGAGAAATGCTATGTGTAAGACTTAGCTCCCTTTGGTCAGTGTTTTGATGGAAACTGTGATGCTACTCAGTTTGCCTGATGAATTTTTACTAAAGCTAATGAAGGAGTGGAAGCAAAGGCCTTACAGCAACAGTTAACCATATCTTCTGATAATTCTTACAGACTGTGCAATTATGTGATTACAAATGGATTTTTAAATGCCAAAAAATGCCTTTCTAAAGAGTTAATGTTAGGTCTGAGGAGTGTTGGAAATAGCCACTTTCAAAAATGAGCCTTCAGGCACTGTAATGAACTTGCTGTCAGTCTTCTGTGCAATATCTTTTTCCCTCTGGGTGCTTTAAGTGTATACTGTATGTCTTACTTTGTTTTGATCAGTATGTTTTAAGAGTGTGTATATTGGCTAATGATGGATTTTTTTCCTGTACAGCATGGTGGAAGATGTTTTAAAATTTTGCACTTTTCTAGGATTTGCAAGTTTGTAACCTGACAATTTTTAACATGCACACTTTTGTACATAATTAGCACTGTATATATTTAACATGAGTCTGAAGCAAATAAAAGTAATTGAATGCATAACTTCTCCATTTATTAATAGCAAAAAATGAAATGAAGTGTGGAAGTACACTGAAGGAACAGTTCTTTCATTTAGCAGGTAAATCTATGCAGCAGGAACAGCTGACTCGCTGTCCTGTCTTAATTGTGTTAAACTAACTTTTTTTTCAGTGGGGAAGGAATCAAACTGGATACATAATGTACAGACCCTTTCAGACTTCAAATAGCTCTGATTACTCAAGTATTGCAATAAAAAATGTCTTTTTGCTGGGAAGGAGATGTCCGGGCCATGAATCAGGGTGAGGAAAAAAGCCCACTATACATATTTATAAATAGAGATAAGGTTCCCCACCCACCCTGGGACTTAGAAGCGTCTCTTTCCTTCTTCTTCATTGTCTTCTCCATATAGTAATTTGTGCTGCAGGAAATGGAAGGCTACAGATTCAGGGAATTACTGTCAGTCAGGAGGAAACTGAAATCTGTTCCAGGCTCGTGTTCAGTTGGTTTCTTACCCCTTAAACAAGACAAACCATGCTGTGAGTTTTAACAGGAGCTGGGACTACTGTGCTTCCATCTGTTACTAGGGATGGAACCAGGCACCCTTATTCTTAACAAGCAGAGTTTTGACTCCCTTCCTTGCCCACATCATAGCACATACATATTAGATTTGAACATTACTAATGTTCATATGAATGAAGACATGGGTTTCCTTGTTCCAGAGTTCCATGCATTAGGACCAAACTGGCCAGAGCTGACTACTAGGGCTCTTCCTGTGAAGAGTAACTAGAACTTGGAATCATAAGCATCAATGGATGTAATGCCACAGCACTTAACTGTGTAAGTTAGACTTCCTTTAGAGTGCTGTCATACTGTCTGCTCCTTTGGAGCATAAAACTACTCATGTTTTCCCCAAAGAAAAATGGAACCAAGGGATTAAGTAATTTCTGATGTGGGGGACAGGCAGCATGTGCCAGGAGTCTAACAAAAGCTTCTCTTCCTTTCTATCTGAAGGATGATAACAATTCAAATGAAGCATTTACCTCAAAAACAGACGTGCTCCTGTCACTCCTTGCAGCGTGGCTTTGTCTCCTTCCACTAGCAGCATCGCACCTTCCCGCAAGCCCTAATGTAGGTGGAAACATTTAACATGATTTTCAAGCTATTTGAGAGGGTAGAATGCTTGTCACAAGCAGGCCAGTCTTAGTGCATCTCACCATGATTACAGACTAGACTTTCTTGCTTACCTAACAAAGATGCAAAGACAAAATTTGGTGTTTTAGAAGCTGATTTTCTTGTTTATTTCAGTTTTCACTTTTAAAGGAGGAACCATTAAGGAGAAGAGGAAAGTGTGTTTTTTCCCCACAGTTACTTCTACTACCCCACCATTCTTAGATCCAGTTTGGGCCAAGCAACAGCCAGCTGGGTTTGTTAAAACACAAGCTTTTCACTCCAAGATCAAGCACAGGGACAGGAAACACAGAGGTCCCACTTCCCTAGACAGGCATAATGAAATGACATATATTCTACTGAATGTGCAAATTCAGAAACTGTATTGGAGATTACAGATAAGAATATCTGCAAAAAGATATTGTGTATGTATTGTACCATCTGCATGCACACCACCGCAGTGTACAATATATGACTAGTGGCCAGTGACTGGGAAGATCAGAGCTGCCTGAAATACAGTGTTTAGCAACATAACATGCAGTATGCATTTCATTTGCTCTAACCCATTTTCTGCAAGCAAGCAAAATCCAAGGTTGAAGCTCTTAGCAAGAATATAACGTTCCATGCCACTGTTCTGTAAGGCTTGTCAGTCAGGGGAACCCACACTGAAAGCTGGCATGAATGCATTTAAAATGTTTATCATGCTACAGCCATGAGCTTCCTGACTGAGAACTAGTACTCACCAGAACTGGAGGGGTGTTTGGTTCTTCATGGTATTGGCGGATTCTTTCCTCTCTTGTCTCCTGCAATTATGAGTGTAGATTTAGATTCCTAGGCCATAAGGTAGGACTTGGAGTTATCCAAGTAGCGTGACACCAAGCAATTTCATAACATTAAACAAAGCAGGCACTCCATCCCTCAAGGAGGATGGAGTGGCAGATTGATTCTAACAGATATGTATTTACCCTTCATCTCTAGTGGCAATTTACTGCAGGCTGATCAAACAGAACTCACACAATCTCAAACCAGAAAAGCCTTAAAACTTATTTCCACTCAATTCATCCTTTATGTTTGTTTCTTTGTTTATTGGTTTTTTACTACTATCTCTGTGTGCACCAAGGAAAGTGGTGGAAGCAAATGCCTGAGGTGCCACTTTCATGAAAGAGGGTAGTGAACCATGGATTTCCAGTGATATTAAATATTTGCTTGTCTTCAAGTAGGTATTACACTGAAGAATTTTCCTTCTACCATGTTTCCTGAGGTTTGCTGCTGAACTGAGCAACAGTAGTTAAAGAAATCAAACCAGAAGGATTTATGGGTAAGGAAACACAGGAACACAGCAGAGACTCGGTACAGCACAGAGCTTCCAGCCTCCTCTCAGAGAAATAGCAAAAGTTATTTATAGGGAGAAGACTGCCTGCTTATCTAATACCAGCTGATTCAATGAATACCTACAACTTCAGCTAAACTCTAGAAGCAAACCTATGTCCACCATCTCTACATAGTTCCCTAATTCTTAATACTTCCTCTAACCATGAAATTTTGATTACAAGGAGGAAAGTATTTGGGTTGTTAAAAGATGCACCACAAAAACTGTTCTCCAAGGAAGTAGCTGACATGCTATTCAAGAAGCAGCTCCTCCATACACGTCTCTTTGTGCTTGATGGCTTAAATGTTTTTCTTTCAGCTATATTAGTGCATGTGCCTGCTCAGTACTGGACATTAGAGGGTGTGCTCCCTGCAAGGACACCAGTGCCTAGGTATTTTCTTACACCATAGACTGCACGCAATCTCCAGATCTCCCTGTTCTCATGGTTCTTCAGACCCTCCAAAATCACTGTGCATTGCATCTTAACATTTTAGGTTTATCTTTTTCTTTTTTTTTAATTCCCCCATTCCATGCCAGGTATCAAGCAACAGTATTTCAGGCATTGCAAAGCTTCTGTTTGTGAAAAATACTTCATTCCACCTCAGTTATACTGTTGCCAACTCCTCTTCCCACGCAAAGAAAAGTCTAGAAGGAAGTAAAGTGTTACTGCCTCACTGGCATTTCCAGTTTCTCTAGGGAGCAGCTGTTTGACATTCTGTAGCTTTGTAAGGCCTCACAAATGGTTACACCTCTGCACCCTGGTTACTGTGTTAGCTCTGGCATGCATTACTTACACCCATGTGAGTGCTTTTCACATCTGGGTCCAGGTAGTGGGGGTTAATATTAAAAGGAACTAAACCTAGAGCCTGCAGGGAAGGTGGATAAACAATTGGCATGTCATTGGTGGTGTTGATGCTGATGGTAGCAACGTTAGTTCCCGCACTGGATCCCATGTAAGGAATCCCATCCTGAAAGACAAAAGCAATGATCAGTATGCTGTATCACAACTAGGAACTGCATTTTATAGCCTCTTCTTTCAGTCTCAGAGACTCAGCAATCAGATCAGACTTAGTTCTTCTAGCTCATCTCACTGCTAACTTTACAGGTGACAAGCAGAAGAATAAGATTTGGGTTCTGAGGCGAACAATAGCTTGTCCATGTCAGAGAATTAGCTGCTGCACGTCCTGCACTCACAGCTCTGTGACCCCATCACAAGAGAGAACTTAGAAGGTTGTCAGTGCTTATCCTGGACTTCGCTATTAAGTGAGGTGAGACTTGTCTACGTTGCAGTTACAGGAATTACCCGAACTAGCTTTTAACTAGTTTCTGAAGAGTGTAGTCCATCTGACGTTAATATAATGTTATCACAGCATCAGCTTACCAGTACCATTGTTTAGGTGTTAGTACTGAATACTAAGCTGTACATGGAAGAATGACACTCAAGCATGCAAGTTCACAGGTAATATACATTTGTAAAAATAAGCTATCTTGAGAGAGTTGGTGTTAATATAACCAAATAATTATCCAGACTTCACTGGTATTTGAACATTTTCTGGATTTTCTGCCCACAACAGACATTAAATTTCTATATCTTAAGACAAGCCTAGCTAACCTTTCTTCTTGGCAGCTGGCCTTACATAAATCTGCCTAAAGTCATTTACAGTTCCACACTGCTAGTGGAACACCTTTCTTCTGTTCTCCTCCAGAGATGGTGTATCTTTACTGTGCCTTACAAGATTCACAAGCTAGAATTGGGCTGCTGAGCAGAAGGGCTCAGTGGCACTCACACCTCTTAATTCCAAGGAGATATGCAAAGTAATTATGTAATTTTCAACATCAACAGAACACTGTCTAAAAGGCATGTATGGATCTAACTTTATTGCTAGTTTATTAGCAGACAAGCTGTAACGTGAACACATCTGTGTCTGTCAAAAAGACACAAAGTGGACATCTCAAACTGAAAAACAGGGTTTATGGACATAGACTAAATCCTGCACTGTTCTTCATTGATATTTCAAGTTGAGAGACTTATTTCTAAGGTTCACAGCATTGTATATCTCAAGGTCTTGCAGTCCCACATCTAGGAAACTGTTCTAGAAAGACAGACTGCTGACCTTAATCATTTCAATGACTTAATGGCAGCTTTATATGGCCAGTTTTCAGTTCATCAGATTGCCTGAGATGGCTCAACATTTGAAGTATATTAGAAACAAAGATGTAGAATCAACTTGAGTTTGTCTAAACAAAAGCTTATGCATGAAATCCTGCCATTCAGACTTGGCCAGAGTCCTGTAGTTTTACCTCAAGAACTCTTTTCCTGATCTCGTGTATCAGACTGTTGTCGTAAAGAGCTTTCAGGAGACGGAATGTGTTCCCACCTCCTGCAGAAAGAAAGTCCAGCTTATTTAACATGCTTTCACCACCAGTTTTAATTGAAGCCTTTACAAACTTGGCAAGCTCAATGAGTTCTATGCTCTATTCATGGTACTATCCTGCTTTGAGCAGCAGTAAAACCAGAATCTTTGCAAGAACAGTCATTGGGCAGGCCATGGGCTCTTTGACTGTGTTCTAATACCCAGCAGCATGGTATTTGGACTAGATCTTCTTAGGCTTGATAAAGTGATGATACAGCTGTGATGATCATGTTTTTACACTGAAGTACTGTTCAAATTAATAACTTGAAACTTATGGAAGATCCATTAATAAATCTTTCCTACTTCCCTGCCTACAACTAAATTTAGGGTCTTCAGTCTCCCAATTATAGTACTGTTTTCTGTACTTTCTAATAATTTCTTGGCCCAACTTTTTAATTGTTGATCTATAGTGCCAGTTCTGAGCAGGACTATTCAAGTGCCCTACATAAACCATCAATGGGAAGTGAGAAGTAAAACTTACCAATAAAAATTGCTTCAGATTTCCTTACAGCTTCCACTGGATCACAAGATTCGTGAATGCTGTCCAGCCCATAACCTTAAATGAAAAAGTATTTGCCTTTGCCACTTCAGTCTGGTGGAAGAATGTGGTATGTTCAATCTCTCCCTGCCTACCCCCTGCCCCCCACCCTGAGCCAAATTTTTTGCCAGACAACCAGGGAAATTTCTGAGAACTCTACAACATAAAACAGAGTGTATGTCCTACATTACTGCAGGGCTTCTGCATCCAGCTATACCAAAGGAAATGTTTGTTTTGTGGATATATGTGTTCAGTGTCTTAAGAGCAGAGCATTTCACTCAGCAGGTGCAGTCTGAGGCACAACGTTACCAGGTAACTAAAAAATAAGGAAAAAGCTGTCAGTCTTAAACTTGGCTGTGCTGAAGTCTGATAGGATGTGCCATCATTGGTCTATCATTCCTTGTGCAAATATCTAATCTGAGTGTGGTTTCTGTTGAAATGGCTTTCACAGATTTGCCTTGCAGGAGTTCACTGAGTACAGGAAGCGTCAGGAGAGCCAGAAGAACATGGACATTTGAGAGCAGCAATCTTTCTGCAAACCAAAGAGCAAAGTGTGCTGCCCAGGGAAGCGAGTACTGATTATTACTACACTAACAGGTCCAAAGTTACCCTCAACAGTGATAGATATTGGGTGGAGGTGTTGCTGTAGGCTGCTCTGCAACGATCTTTGTTCCAAGCAAAGCTACCTTGCTGTTCATTGAGGAACTCTCTGGCTGGTTGAAGTTCTTTATAGAAAGGGTCTTCACACCAGTGGTTGCACGCCTTGAGCATATACGGGAAGAAATGTTCCCTCATGTGATTAAACTTAGTATTTAGGAATAAAATCTTCCTCCCTGAAGTGGGTAGAAGTGTTTGCAGCAGGATTTCTTCTGGAGGCCTCTAAAGCATCTACTTCTAGGCAGAAGTCTGGAGACGGCTCCTGCTGCTCTTAGTTCCATTGCTGACCCATTGTAACGCAGCAGCCGAGCCCGGCCCCTCTGCAGCGCTGCGCCCGTTCCTGCCCGGCAGCACCGACCCTGCAGCGCTGCGGGCCCGGGGTGCCAGCGCCCCATCCCCGCACACGGCCGCGTCTGCAGCAGCCGGGCCGGCCTTACCCAGGCTCTCAAACTTCTCCCTGGCGGTCCGGGCGTAGGCGTCGCGGTCGTGCAGGGCGTAGGGAATGAACAGCACCCGCTTCACCTTCCTGGCAGGAAAGAGGGGAGAGAGTGGTCGGCGCGGCAGGGGCTGGGACCGGGAAGGCTCCCGCAGCCCCCACCGCGCTTACTGCCCGAGGAAGCTCTGGATGTGCTGCTGGCAGTGGGCCAGGTACCCTCCTCCGTGCAGGGTGGAGTTAGACACCAGCAGCAGGCGCCGCGGGCCCCCCATGCCGTCCCTGCCGAGCAGAGCCGAGCCGAGCCGTGCTCCCTGCCCGGCCCAGCCCAGCCCGGTCCGCCCCTTCCTGCCCCGCCGGCGGCCCCGGGGTGGAGCCGAGGCACTGCCGCTGCCACCGCCCCGGCCCGGCCATGCTGGACTTCGCCATCTTCGCCGTCACTTTCCTGCTCATCCTGGTGGGCGCCGTGCTCTACCTGTACCCGGTAATGCTGCCGGCGGCGGGGTGGGGGGCGCACGGCCCCGGCCCACGGTGCAGCGGGCAGGGAGCGAGCAGCCGAGCCGGCCCCGGCTCCATCCCACGGCCCCTGCCCCGGCTCCATCCCCATCCCACGGCCCCGGGCTCGGGCGGTGCCCCGTGCCCGGGCGGCGCCCCGTGTCCGTACCCCGCGGCCCGGGCCCGGGCGGGGACGTGGCAAGGCCATCGGGAGCGTTCCCTGCCCTGCGGGGCGTTCCCGCGGCAGCGCACCCCGCGGCACTCCTCCTGCTTTCCGTGCCCCTCGAGTGAAGCCGCTTACCAAAGGCGTTATCTGCTCACCGTGCAGTTTTGCAGGTCTGCAGGGCAAAATCTGTGTGTAAGATCCCACCCTGCAAACCTGACCGTTTAAATCTTTACACAGACATCTTTCATCTAACCAGATGAATAATCCTGGTTTAGCCAGTGGGACCAGGCACACACTTGCAGTTTATCGGCTTAGCAGGTCTGAAGCCTGCAGATGTAGCATATCCAGCTTTTGTTTAATGTTTGTAAGTAGTGCAGCAGTACGTGTGTGGAAAATCCATCTCTCCTGCTGAAAAGCTGTGAGGCTTGTATAAAATCTGAAGTTCCCATAGATTGATGCATTTCCTTTTACTCTAGGCATCTAGGCAAGCATCAGGTATCCCTGGGCTGGCTCCAACTGATGAAAAGTAAGTCACTTCCATCTCCACATTTATCAGGTTCAGCATTGGCAGAGGATGCTGTTCATAACCAGATATCCTCTATGTTCCTCAGGGATGGCAATCTGCCAGATATCATTGCCAGCAGCAGTTTACATGAGTTTCTGGTGAACCTTCATGAGAAATATGGCCCACTGGTCTCTTTCTGGTTTGGAAGGCGTCTTGTCGTCAGCCTCGGCTCCATTGATCTCCTGAAACAACATATTAACCCCAACCGGTTGTGTAAGTGCCCTTTGCATTGTCTTTGAGTCCATTTGTTCCAGCCTTGCTGGGCATCCTATGTCAAAGGAAGTTGGGGTTTCATTCTAAGTTGAAAGAAAATGAGACTGTGTTAGCAGTTGACATGGTGGTTCAAGTATGGCTTTGCTCCTGCTTGCTGGACTTGAATATCAGTGATGAAGAGTTACTGCTGTCCAGTGGCCATCAAGAAATCAGTGCAGTCTTGTCTTTTACCGTCTCTCTACAGGCAAATGTTTATGGAAAGCATCATGCTCATTAGTCACTTGAGAGAGCAAGGTGAAAATCCAGTAGCCACTTGGCATACATTTTAAAGGCAGTTTGAAATATGGTTTAAGAGTGGAAATCTTGCTAAATTAAGTCTGAAAACAACTGGGCTAGTTTATGATAACTGCCTTGTATAGTTCAGCATAGAGGCTTTTTAAACTATTATTTGAAGAAGTTCTTTAACTTTTGGTTTTCTTTGGTGTGTAGAATTTTGTGCTGAAAACCTTTAATGATCTTCTGGTCTTTCAAGTGGTTGGTGGTGCTGGTAGCTGAGTTGATCATCTTAGTCCTGGGAAGGTATTTTAAAATATTGTGTAAGTCTCTTAGGTGAGTGTTTTGCTTCCTAAGGTGATCACAGTCAGTGAGTTAACTCAGTTGATGTTTGGGTTTAATCTCTTGCTTTTGTGGTTTTTATCTTACGAGGTTGAATGAGGTGCTGGGTGCACACCTCTGACCTGATCCTATAGGCTGTCTTTAGGCACAGGCAGATGTCTCAGATGACTTTATGCTGGGGTCATGACAGGTAAGCTTCATGTACACTTGCATGACAGACTCAAAAAAAATATGGTTATAATCTGGGAAAGGAGTGGGAGTTAATGAGGATCAGCAAGACATAGTGGATAACGATGACACTCCAGAAGGTGGAAAACCACCCTGAAAGATCTAGATGTTCTCAAGTGCGTTTGGGGGAAATTGAGCAGACAGTCACTTTCTCAAAGCTCAGAGAAGTGGTGACAGGCCCCTGAGCAGGCAGGTTCTCAGAAGTGTTCTGAATTTGGGAGTATTCGAATACCAGAGAAAGATAAATACAGCGCCTGGTCATACATGCAGGAAATTAAGTGACCCAGGCTGCTACAGACTAGCCCAGCATCCTGCTATGCCAAGGACTAAACATATATTTTTAAGCATGAGGATGAATAGCATGCATGTTGTACCTTGATAATTAGACTTCTAGACAAGGAAAGTGATAGAACTGTGTTTCTGTTAAGGTTTCAGTTCAGAATTTGCTTGGACACTGTGTGGGTCATCATAATGGCATAAGAGAGATGAAAGAGGAAGGAAGGGTGGATTGTCTTGGTAAAATGAAATACTGTGTTGGGGAGGTGACGTACTCCCACTTAACATTATGCTGGAACCCTCTGTCACCACAGGGAAGGAGAGTGAGATGTTATCCCTGAGAGCTGGGGTAGCAGGAACAGGAAGAGGAAGGGGAAAAAGCAGGCTGCATGAATTGCCCTCAATTCAATCATCACGCAGCCATGGATGAAAAAGGAAAGGGTACATTGAGTCATGTATTTTCTGTTAAAAGAGGAAAACGTCTAAACTGTTGCACAAGATGAACATGAGCCAGACCTGGAATCCTGTGTGTGGCTCTAACCTCTGTACTCTGGCATGATGTTGAATAAAACAAGTGCAAATGAAGGCTGCCAGTGTTATCAGAGAAGTGGGAAGCCAGTTGTGCAGGAGAAGCCAGGGAAAGTATGTTCAGCCCGGCAGAAGGAAGAGCTTATGGGGGGATCTTCATAAAGGCAGCAGCAGCAGGCTTGAGAAGGAGGGTTCTCATGATCTCAGACCTGAAAAAGCAGAGATATTAGTTGTATCAGTACTTACCTTTTAGCATGGGTGCTTGTCAGAAGTGCTCAGATTTTATTTTAGAGGTGATGACTTTTACTGGTTGTATTTCCTGAAGTGTTGAGGTATAAACAAACATAGCTGAGTAGCTCTAGCAAAACCCTTCCTGTACTGTTTCTTATGGAGTGAGAATAGGGGTTGTGGTTGCTCTAAGCCATGAACTGGCTCTGGGCAGCTTGCAGTTTTATTGGAGACGTGGTCTTGCCTGTATCTCTTCTACGTGCACAGTGCTGTGGGACAGGAAACAGCCCACAGTGGACTGCGTTATATCCAACTTCTGACTCTTCAGCCTCACTTGAACACCCTTGCCATCTGACTTCCTCAGTCTGCTGGGGTGCCTGAGGCCAGAGCTGCTTTTCATAGATACCTGCCTGTTGGTTTCCAAGGTTGAGGTGTAGGGTTTGGCTCCAAGTATCGAACAGAGGTTCTTCTCATCTCACGTGTGTGTCACAGGTATGGCCAAACTTCTTGGAGACAGAAAGAGAGAGAGGTGCAGATAGTGCATCTCAGATCAGAGCCTTGAAGTTGGACTAATTGCATTCATAGTTATTAATATTTCCAATGCCAGGAGACTTTTTCCTTATGCTTAAAACAGTGTTTGAAATTGGTATGTTTTCATGGCCTCTTAAAACTTGGTTGTGATTAATTTGCGAGGAGAATTCAAAGGAAGTAAAACTTTGCTGCTGATACTGGTGATTCCCCTGAGTGGCTCTGGGGAAGGAGTCCAGACCTGCAAAGAGTGTGGATGTGAAGAGCGTGGACTAACGCAGGATTGCCAGGAGCAGTACGTTCAGAGACCCACTTGGAAAACTCCCATGAGTCGATGTTCCATTTTGAGTGGGGACAATGAACCTGAAGCACATTGAATGCTGGAGATGGAACTATGGGTCCTGACCTGTCTGAGCAGAACAGCTTCACTGCTATTCTGGAACCATTTGTACTGTGTGGCTTCAAAGGTTCTTTCCATCTCTGATGTCCAGTTCTGCTTGGCATCTGGCTTGACTATCCAGCTAGATCTTTTCTCCATTAGTACTTGCAGTGGCATCCAGGACAGCACTCTGAGGTTCTTGGGATGAGGGAGAAGACTTCCTTGTAAATGAATGGATCAATCAAAATTTTTATATGTTTCACTAAGAGGACTGAAAATGTAACCCTGGAGATATTTTCAAGACGAGGACAAAGGAAGAAGTCTGTGACAGTGCTGGCAGAACAGAGCTCTCTCCAGAGACAGTTTGTGCCTTGTGGAGTCACCGGCCTCCCGCAGCTGTGGAGAAATGGCCATTTCCCAAATGGTGCAGAGCCAGCCCTCAGCAGAGGGCAGCCTGGGTGCTGCAGCCCTGAGAGCACAGCAGTGAGTGTATCACTTGTGTGGGACTGCCAGTTTGGACTAGGGACAAGGGGAGGAAAAAATGGAGCCTGTGGCTGATCCAGCAGCTTGCTCTCATATGCACCAGGAAAACTTTGCAGTTCCAGCAGGTGTTGGTGTTAAGCATCCTCCAACCTCTCTAGATGCCTCTGCTTTCCAGGTTTGCTGTGTGGGCTTTACCACCTGCCATCTGTCTTTCTGGCTACCCAGTATTGTGCCAAGCTCTGCCAAGGCCAGTCAGCGGGGAACTATGGCATGAATAGCAGCAGCCACTCCATGACAAAGTACCTTGGAGGAGGAATTGTCAGCAGCAGCTAGAGTCACATAACAGCCTGCTCCACGTGGAGAGCCACAGGTACCATCTGCTGTGCCAAAAGACACATGCTCATACTCCTTGTAATTCTGAGTGGGAAAGAGGGTGAGATCCAGAGCTTAGAAACATTGGAAGGGAAAAGATGTGAGAGAAAAACATTTAGGAAAGATTACCATATTCATGCCTCTGGCCTTGTTAGCTGCTTTTATGCCATTAGGTAGTAAGTCCTCTGCAGGTGGAATTGTCTCTTCTTGTATGTTTGTCTAGTGGCGTGATGATCTCTGCAGGGAATCCTAGATACATCCACAGCTGGTAGACTCATATGTGTCTAGCCCAGCCTTGATGTTTTCTGATGCCTCAGAGGTTTCACTCTCCGTCTGGGAGAAATAAGACTGTGATAAACAGTGACAATATCCCTCTTGAAAACCCTGATTGCTGCTTCCAAATAGTTCCTTAAAGATTCTGCCAGATTTGCAAGACCCACTGAAAGGTTTACAGAAAGGGAAAAACATATGCCATGCTTTTTTGCACCATTTTGCATTGACACCTAATATACTTTAGCAAATATATTAAATAGAAGTCCGTGGTGGTGAAATTCAAAGTTAAAAATCTAACTGAAGTGAGTCATGGATATGGAAGTTATGTGATTTTTGTCTAGTTTGTACACTGTTGCAAGTGTCTGTGTGGAAGGAAGATGGAAAGAAGGCAATTAGCAGTAGAAAGCATTCTATAGCTTACCAGGGTACTGTTTTCTGTAAGAGCTTCAGAGCTTCTCTGCTGGAGGGAGCCCTGACAGAGAGGCAGCTGCTGGTTTGGGAAGAGCTCATCAGCAGGGAACTCGGTGCATGCAAGAAAAATCATGCAGTAAGAGTAGGGTATCAAATGAAGTTTGCTGGGGCTGTGAAGCAAGGGAAGAAGTGCAGAGAGCAGCCTCTGGCTACATCTCTTGTATGAGCTGATATATCCTGAGTGCATAGCCTTGATCAGGGCAGGAGGGCACACCAGATGTGAATGGGTAATGTGCTAAAGGGGCTGCAGGTCAGGCTGGAGAAGGGGAAGGACCATGCTATACTCAATCTTGTCACCAAGTCAATGGCACAACCACCTGGGAACTGGCAAACTGGGAACAAACTCTGAAGGCATTGTCACTTAAGGAGTTACTTGGTAGAGCCAGCAGGCAAGCTCTGCTGGGAGAGCTGATCACAGGATGGCACCCTGCCCCAGAAAAGAGACCTTATGAGGTCCCAGCCCACACTGAGCAAGAGAAGCTTGACACCCCAAAGAGAGTGTTCCTAGGGGAAGGAGCTGTGCCTTGCTCATTGCCCAGAAGTAGCAGCACCCAATTAAAGAGGCTGCTGTTTTCATCAGCCCTGTGTAGTGTGGCTTTTGAATCGTGTTTCCTCTATTTGCTTTCAGTGGATCCCTTTGAGACAATGCTGAAATCCCTCTTGAGGTACCAGTCCAGCCTGAATGGGGATACAGGAGAGAGCCACATGAGGAGAAAGCTGTATGAAAATGGTGTGACCAAGTCCTTGCAAAGTAACATTGCTCTCATCCAGAAGGTGCGTAACTGCCTTTGTACAGTAGAGAAGCCCTGTGTGTCTCACAGGGGAAAGTTTAATGAGAATGATCACTAGGATAAAGGACCTGCATTTCCATTACTGCTGGAACTGTAAGCATCTGAGACAGCAAACAGCCTCTACCTGTTCAAGCATGGTGTGAATATTTGGTTTCTCTTAGCTCCAATGGGTCAGGGGGAAGGGCTGAGCTTGGTTACTTTTTATGCCAAGATACCAGATGCAGTTAAAGATACTGCAGCACCCTGATTCTAGATATATTTCCCAGGACAGGAGGGAGGAGCAAGGAACCAGCTATTGGGACCACGAACAGGTGAAGAACTGTTCTGTTGATTTAGTCCAGCATCCAGAACATGTTGTGTTTTCCCAATCTGGAGCTATTAGTGTTAAAGGGTTTAAGGTTTCTTTTGTAACAGAGGGAACAAGAGAGGAGGATAGGGCTGCCTTGTTGGGAGAAAACCTTGAAAGAGGCAGAAGATTGGAGGCTAAAATGTTACTGGTTAGTTTAACAAGGGAAAGTAAGCCTGGAAAGCATGTAGCTTCATGCCGTAGCCATGAAAGTGTGGTCTGCCTTAGGAGCTGCCTTACGGTGGGAATGTCTCCAGGGGGTGTTTGGTAAATAGACTGCTGATCTTACTTCTAACTAATGGTTCATTCCCTCTCAAGCTGTCAGAAGAGCTGCTAGCCAAATGGCTCTCCCTGCCCGAGGCACAACATGTGCCACTCTGCCAGCACATGCTGGGCTTTGCCATGAAGTCTGTCACGCAGACAGTTATGGGCAGCAGCTTTGAAGATGACCGGGAAGTCATCCGATTCCGCAGGCACCATGATGCAGTAAGTGTCACGAAGAGCCAGGAAATTTCCTATTATACTTTTCCAAACTAAGAGCACAGAGCTTGTGTCTGTGTGCAGTTTAGTACAAGCTACTGCTGAGACTTTATGGTAAGAGCTTGAGGGCTCTGCCTCAATTGTCCCAAGCTAAAACTGTTTAAAAGATCCTACTGCTGGTTCTGCTGTCATTAGTCTGAAGTGTTTCTAAAGGATCCATGGGTATCAAGAACCTGGATCCAAAGGCAGTTGGGAGATCTTTGGTACCTAAGTCAGTTAAACTCTCTTTGGAGTGCCAGTGGAACTTATTTTTGAAGATCTTCTGAAGGCTCTCTGACATTGTGGAGAAGACAAAACAGTCCCAGCAGTCTCAGCCTGTGGTGAGTGATGGTACTGTTCTCTCTGTCATTTCAGATCTGGTCAGAGATTGGGAAAGGTTTCTTGGATGGGTCTCTTGACAAAAACATGACTAGGAAGAAGCACTACGAAGATGGTAGGTTCCTCCCAAAATCACAGTTTTCCTCCCACTCTGATTAATACTTAGGAATTAGCTAGTCTATGGAAGCACTTAATTTGCCCGGCTGTCTTGGCTTTTCTTCAGAATTGGTCATCATGCCATAAGCTACCAGATGTGTTGTACTTACTCTCACATAAGATCATTGTTTTGGAGTTGAGTGACAAGCCTGCCATTACTTGAGAAGTTTGTAGGACTAGAACTCTAGTTCCAGGCCTAATTGTAGGGTCTGTCCAGTCTGAAGAGTGATAGAGGTGAAGCAGCAGGGTATGCTTGCTCCCTTCCTCTTCTGTTCCCTAGTGTCCACTTTTGACCTCTCTTGGAGGCAAGCAACTGTGCTAGGTGGAGAGAGATGGAGCCACTTGATTTGGCCTGTATGGGCATCCATATGATGCACCTTTTGGGGAATGTGCTGCCAGACAGTCACTCACAGGCTGGAGGACACAAATACAGAGGTGCTGCTTTGAGGGATACCTTCCATGGGATGGACTCTGATGTGCTCTTACAAGGCAACATGATTTTCAGGTCTGTTATGGCAGTACTTTTGTTTCTCATGTATTTTATAGTAAGTAATTTTATTTTTTGGTTGTCCTGTCTTTTTTTGATCTTAATAATTAAACCCTTTCAGTATTGATTGATAAGATATTAAACAAAAGTAGCTTAGATCTGGAACTAAGGATTTGCTTGTAAATCCTCCAGACTCGGTGTTTCCTTGTTTATACTGCTGATTCTGTGGGTTTCAGAACCTGAGGACAACTAGTGCCCCATTGAAATGGGTTCCAACCATGGTCACTCCATTCCTGAGTTGTAGTATGATGATGCATTGGGACACAGTTTCACAAACTCCAGATAGCGAGGCTTGGTGTTAAGTGTTGCTGGCCTTCCTATGCAGAGAGGATGAAAGAAGGGTAGTTCTAAGACAAAGGGGCTGAATTGGGCCTTGGTAAATGGAGTTTCAAATCCAAATTCTGCTCCATGTTTCTTGGATAGTCTTCAGTAGGTCATTTAAATCAGGCAGCCAATGGCATCTAGGTCCCTAACTCCCCTTGGTTCTCACAATAGTCACCAGGAGTTGGGCACTCAGACAACTTCAGATATGTGGACTTGTTGTGCCAAAACCCTCCCACATTTTCCCCACCCTCTTCTCTCTGCCTATGCAGACTCTTTAGCACAGAGCCATCCTCTTGCTCCATGCCTGTAGAACCCCTGTCAAAAGGGACACCATCAGTGGCTGGAGGTGCTGTGGTACTGTGGTAATTATAGCCCTCCAGGTCAGGTAACCAGTGTTATGTGGCTCATACATGTTTTCATGGGGGCTGATTAAACACGTTCTCTGATGGTTAAACATTGTGATTTGACTTCCCCTTAAGTGATTTCAGCTCATAGAGTGCACATCTTGGTTATACCTGTAAGGATGGCTTTTTACAGGCAACCTGTGCTATTTGATTTCTACATTTTCAACTAAATTGGAGATGCTGCCTTCCAAATTGACAGTAACATGTAACAGAGGCTGCTTCTGTAACTGAGCCCAGCAGGGACAGCTGGTCTGAAAATCTGCTTGAGGAGACGGATTTGCTTCTCTGCAGCACCAGTATGACCAGATTTTAAAATAAACATTTCTTTTTTGTTCCAAAGCTCTGGTGGAGATGGAATCCGTCTTAAGGAAAGTTACAAAAGAGCGCCGAGGCAGATCATTCAACAGGCATGTCTTTGTAGACACCTTGCTGCAAGGGAGCCTGAGTGACCAGCAGGTCTGTGCAGCTGTTATGTCATTACACAGTAATGGAGTTTTGATAGATGGGCAACTCGTTACATTGTAGCCTTTGATTAGTGTAAGCTTTTGCATCTTAGCTCGAATTCTTTACTAAAGCAGGATTTCTAGTTCTTTTTTCCACTCCTACAATGTTTAATTGCATTAGACTTTGGTAGCTTTCCTTACCACTGCTTCACAGCTATTTTTATAAACCAGAAATATGTTAATATTAAGCGTGTCTCATGTGCAATTCCAGTGGAAGTTCTACAGAGAGTTCAGTCCATGTCTTCTAGATTTATATCCTACTCTTTGCACTAAAGGGATTTCATGTGCTTGGGTGGAGAATGTGCCACTTCTTTTTTATCTTTACAGTCTTACAAACTTCAGTCTCTGAAGTAGATTTTATTTCCTAGATTCTGGAAGATACAATGATTTTCACCCTGGCAGGATGCATAATCACTGCTAACTGTAAGTACAGATTGTAGGTAACTTCCCATCCTTACACTCAGATGCCTAAAACTCTGTGTGATGACATGAGACTTATCCTAGGCTAATAAAAAGTTGTATTCATCATTCTCTTTCTCTTGAACTACAAACATATAGAAGGAGCTAATTTTTAAATCAGACTCTTGACATAGCCTCACAGCTACTGAATTGAAACCAAGCTGTGTTTGACAGGCTTCCCAGGCTTTTGGTGAACCTTGGAATTTCTTCCCATTGCTTTTTGCTTGCACTCTTAAGCCCAGATAACTGATGCTACATTTGATGAAAAAGCACCAAAATGTATAACCCACAAAGATCATGTTGTAAAATAGGTTCTGGCACATGGGAAAGAAATTATAGTAGAATGTTGGAATCTGCCTGGCCACTTTGAATTTCTAGAGGATGGGTATGTTTCATGTATGGAGGACATTCAAAGGAGTACTCTGGGATTTGTGCAAAGACTGTGGCAAAAAAATACAAATAAAAATACTAGCTGAAGCTGTGTAAAATATCTTATGATAGGGGGATTGTTATCTGGCCCTGTATCTCAGCCAGTGGGGCTGGGACTCCAAAGAAAACCTCTCAAGTGCATCTAGGTGTTAAACAATGTGGAAAATAAATTAGGCAACTATGATAATACTCTTCCTCAGAGAATATCCTCTCCAAGTACTCCAGGAAGACTGTAATTTTAAGGAGCTTGAATACACATGGATTCCAGATAGTTCTCACAGACAGACATTTTTGAGTGCTAGAAACATTTCCTTTAGCTTTACATCCTACACACTTATTTCTTATGCAGGGTTTCTTTTTCACTCTGCTATTGAAGATATCTTGAGTACTTCATAAAAGAGATGTAGTGGAGACGAGTGCTGGCCAACCTGCTGCAGAGAGTTCCTTATCAGGAGCCCCGGGCATTGGCTGTGCCAATTCATTTCCATGGTTGGTCTAATAACCCTGATTCCCCAGGGCTTGTTGATCTATATGGTTCCTTTGCCAGAGCTGAGGGACTGAATGACATAGTCTCCTGCACAGCTCCCTAAGCTTGCAGGGTCTCTTACTACACAGGAGTTCAGCTCTGTTGCTACCACTGAATACAGAATCAGCACAGCCTGCTGTGAACAGAGGTCACCCTTTTTTAGGTCAGAAAGTAACAATGAAAATACAGGAAGTAAGAAAACTGAATGCAGGTTGTAAAGGATTGAATATTCTGGGTCCAGTCTTGTCTTGATTTCTTCCCCAGTGTGTACCTGGGCAGTCTATTTCCTGACAACCTCAGAAGATGTCCAGCAGAATCTCTACAAGGAGGTGGACCGCATTCTGGGGAAGGGACCAATTACACTTGAGAAAATTGAGCAGCTCAGGTGGGTCCTGTAGAAGGAACTGCAGAGGAAGGCTGTGTCATGTGGTGTGGGACAGGGGTTTCACATGGAACCTGATGCCTAGCCTTCACTGGGCCAGGAGAAGGCATCCAAAAGCTACTCCCTTTTTTTTCTGGAAGTGATCAAACCACAGGATGACTTGCAACACAGAGAGAATCTGCTGTAGGACTCCATACATGGGGACCAAGGTGCTCATTTCAAGGTGTCTTTTGAAAACCCTTTAGGTTCATTGGTAGAGGAAAGCACAGAATCAGTGCCCTGGCTGCCAGGCCAAAATTTATTTGCTTAACTGTCTTGTTTGGTTTCTGTCCTAGTTTTCCAAAAGTAAAAGTAATCAGTCATTTTCCTGGTTGGATTCATGTTCGACATATTTAGAAAGAAAACATGGACCAATCTTTTCAAAGGACCACTGGATGATGACTAGTCAACAGTGTGCCTTTATTTTTTGTGCATCTGTTGGTTTAACTGGGTGCATTTTGGTTTTGGACTAGTGTTAGAGAGTATCAAATGTGTGGGTTTCTTGCTGCTTCTTATATGGGTGAGAGAACCAGGAAGAGGGCTGGTGTGTCTGTGCTTTTTAGCAGTTTTAGTTTGGTTTAAAATCTGAAAGAAGAGAGATTTCGATAACCTTCCGTAAAAGCTGTTAATGAGATTTAGTGCTTCTTGCAAAGCTGGGACTCCTTGCCAGAAAAAAAATGAAGTGCCTCTAAATACAGCAGGTGACTCAGCTCTCCTTGCTGCCACAAGGATGTGGACAAGCTTCTCTCTGGGAGGGTTAAACTAACCAAGTGTTACTGGCTGCAGATACTGTCGGCAAGTCCTGTGTGAGACAGTGCGAACAGCAAAGCTGACTCCCATTGCTGCACAGCTGCAGGAGCTGGAGGGCAGAGTCGACCAACACACTATCCCCAAAGAGGTAGGGCCCTGCTGGGAGCACTAGGCCACTCCTTTCCTGTAGGGGGAGTTTGCTGTTTCCTCTTTTTCCCGACTAGGGGTGAGGCTGGAAGACCGTTTCTTCTGCAACTGTTCAACCTGAGTAGCTGTTCTGTCATCTGAAAGTACAGTTTAGCTCAAAGTTTGCCTGCAGTTCCTCTGCAGGAGAGGCTCTGGGAATTCATGTTCTCTTGCTGAGCAGATATGCTTCCAGTTCTGGAAGCTGGGTCTATCAGGGATGAGTAATCTTTTGAAGGGGCTGATAGGCTCAGTTGTGCATGAAAGAACACTGTTTAAGGCCTGGTCATATCACTCATCATATCACCTTCCACTGCAGAGAATAAAGTAGCCCATACATACATGCCAGCAAGAGCAGAGAAATGGGGTCAGACCCTCTGTAACCACTAACAGTCACAGCATGATTCTTAGAAGTTAAAATCCTAACATCTGGGCATGGATTATGGAAATCTGTAGATGAATATAGCATAATTATCTTTTTAATCCACCTAAATATGAGTAGTCTACAAAGTAATCATCCAGCAGAGCTGTCCAGAGGTGTCTTTAATTGTGCATTTCTTTCTGCTTTGACATAAATGTCATAATTTTCTTTGCAGACACTTGTGCTTTATGCTCTTGGTGTGATGCTGCAGGATAGTTCATCTTGGCCATCACCATACAAGTATGTAGAATCAACTTATTGCAACTAATTCCTTTCCTTTTTTAAATTAGATCTTAAAGCACAGCCTTTTAGGCTGCAGGGCCTGCCTTAAGCAGATTTTGGAGATGAAAGGCAGTGTAAGAAAATCAGTTTATTAAGGTTTTGGTTTGGTTTTCTCCATGGATATGCTTTTGGAGCAATTAAAGTCATGATCCTCCCATGCTCCAGTCTGCCTTTGCGCGTGTGTGCATTAGAGTTTAATAAAAACTTTTTTTGTGCACACACAAAGAGCTTCCCCAGAAAATGCCGGTAAATTCTGTTTAAGGTTTTCTGTGAAACAGTAAATTGAATGGCTTTGGAATCACTGCTTGTCATCATGAAACAATGATACAAGAGAGGAAACATCAGTCTGAAATTTTTGTTTTTTCAGGGGGAAGGGAAATGCTGCCTCATTATTTCTGTCTGTGAAAACAGAACAGGATCCAGGCCAGTGTTTTGGAGGTTAAAGAAAAAAATTGCTGTAGCTTCCTGTGGCCTCCAGGTGGCAAATATTAACGTGTATCTGACTTACTTCACTTGGGCTGGGAAAAAATGTGGGTCAGTTATTCTAGACAGAGAGAAAAGACAGCCGAGATTTAGGAGAAAGAATAGAGCCTTTAGAACAGCACTTGTCTGGTCCTGTGAGTGTACCTCTTAGAAAAGGCTCAGGCACTGATGCACCACTCTACAAGCACCTTGGCAGGCATTGCCTGCTAGGATAGGACACGACAGTGTTTAGGTTTGCTGAGGCCTCGTGGGAGAGACAGTGAGGACTGCTATAAACATTGTGTTTTTATTCCAGGAAGACTGGGGTTGAGCCTGAAATAGGTGTGTATTTCTGTGACAGAGACAGGAGATCAGCTCTGTGTGATGCTTTCACCTACTTACTGTACAGAAACACTGTGCATAGCTGTTTGCCCTCCCTATTTATTTGCTAGGCAGCTGCATTTTCTCTCCTATTACATCTGTAATTTGCCACTTCAGGAGGAATGTAAGTTTGATGCTGCTTTTCCTAAGGGTCAGCACCCACATGCCCTTTCACCTTCTTAGAAGCAGAGCTTGGATGTTTAGGCAGGGAAATGAAGGCTTGAAGAATTAAGCAGAAAGGTTTAGGAGAAAGGGAAAGAACTGTCTTCCATCCATCCATTCATCCATCCATCCATCAAATTTTCTGTTTGGAGGTGGTTTTTTTGTAACATTTAAATTGAATTATATTTTGTTAGTCTCCCTCGTTTTAACTCATTCCAGCCCTGGATAATAGTTTTCTTACAGCTTCTACCATCCTAAAGCTGGAAACCACTTTTCTCACTTGAATGAGTCACCGTCTTCCCTCCCCCAGCACATACATATACACACACCAGCTGCTTGAAGAGAAGTGTGAGGGGCAAGGAGAAAAGGGAAATATTTTTGGAAGTGAAAAAGGAAGGGACTTGAGGGAGAGAGGGAGGGAGGCAAATGAGATTGCGTGTGCCCTGGAGGGGAATAGAGGGCAGGTAGCAGCATTAGCTCAGCTGTGTACTCAAGCTAAATACCCACTGCTGAGGGGTAATGCATGTTAGTTCCAGCCCTGTCTCACACTAACTGAGTTTGTCAGCATTTTGACCAAGATGGGACACAGCTGACCAGCTGGGAACATTAATGGAGTGGATGCACAATTAGCTTCATACATTTGTATGGAATTACGCGGCACGATTTAAAGAGAGCAAATTAGTGAGATTCTGTATTTTGTTGCCAGTTTCTTACTTGAGTGAATGCCAGTGTTTGTGGGGAAAGGATGCTGTGCCTGAACAGAAAGCCTTAGTGTATTTTGTTTTTCATAGGTTTGACCCAGAGAGATTCAATGAAGAATCAGCCATGAAAAACCTGTCCTTGTTGGGTTTTTCAGGAAGCCAGGAGTGCCCGGAGCTGAGGTGAGCATAGGAAAGGGGGTCTTTGTGAGTCTCTCTGGCAGAACAGGAGAGGAGGTGCTTTCAGCATCTTCCTGGTACTTCTGGGACAACCTGTCCAAGCTAGCTGTTGTCCTTTGGCACATTTACATCATAGCAGGGTTTTTATTCTTTTCTCCTGATTCTTCCCTCAGGTTTGCCTATATGGTGACTACAGTCCTGCTGAGTGTCCTGGTAAGGAAACTGTATCTCCACCCAGTGAAAGGACAAGTCATGGAGACAAAATATGAACTGGTAACCTCACCAAAGGAGGAAGCCTGGATAACGGTGTCTAAGAGAAGCTAAGAGGAAGAAAAAAAAGGGTTTGAAAGTGCCAGTAGTGAAGTTCTGAACAAGGGTCTTAAAGGAGAATCGTGCTGGCACCACGTTGACTCAGCCAAGGAATTTTACATCCATTTTTTTTTACCTTCCACGTTCTTAAGCACATGCCTATCTTGGGTACTTTTTCTAACTCAACCAGTAGTCATATTAAAGTAGATTTAATCTGTATGCCTTTTTTACATTTGCTTTTGGATTTCTAGCCAAATCATTGCAGAGGAAGCAACAAAACCTTTCAGTGATATATGTATGAACTATTGGGTATCAGCTAGTCAAAGACCAGACCTCTGGTTAATCCAGCCCCTTTCCAATAGCAGCCAGAGCTGGATAAGAGTGCCTCTGTTATCCAGTGGAATGCTTCTTCATGGATCCTAACTAGATAAGATCTTGGAGACACAAGGACAAAGTCTCTCTCTATGTATAGGTATTTTTATTCAAAGTGTCTTTTCTTCCCTTGAGCTATATCTATAACTGTCAAGAAGAGCAGATATATCTTGTGAGAAGTATGTGTGAGTGTGAGAGAGAAAGAGAGAAATAAAGTGGGGTGGGAATTGCACCAGTTCTCTTGCTGTATAATTTGGCATGCTGTGGGGTTGCAAGAGAAAGGATGACTGAGAAATGCTAGTAAACCAAGAGGAATAAAATTGGTTTGGCCCCTGAGAAAACAGAAGTATCAGTAATAATATAATGAAATTAAATAAAACCACAGAACAAAGCCCTGAGAAAGGGATTCTCTATCCTGAAAGTTCTGAGGGCAGTGTCTAATATAATCTACATCAGAAGTTGACAGATGCTTTCAATTCATTCAGCACTGGGTCAGCCTGAGACTGATCATACAAATGCTGGAAAGGGAGAGTGCTGATTTTATAGAGCTCTAGATTAATGTTGTACTTAATAACTTAAAAGCCTTTCAAAGAATCCTTTTCCTCCTCCAAAATGGGAGCCAGCCAAAGCAGCATCAAGTGCTGCATGTTCACATGCTTTTCCCTGCTTCTTTCTTTCTCTTTTGTCCATCACAGGACAGCTCCTGAAAGATTTTTCAGAGTGCCACTGAACAGATTGTGAAGCAGGAACCTCTTCCTCCATCATCACATTGGAGTAATTGCCATCTGACTTCCTTTTCAGGTTGTGTTTCTCCCTTTTCTTGCTTACATAGGATCACCCTTTATCTGATCCTTTTAAGTCTTTTCCCCATAAACCTGACTTCTCTGTGAGCTCCAGTTCCTAGCCCCTTTCCCACCCCAAAGCTGTGTGGTGGTAGATGGGGTGTTTCTCAGCCTGCAGCTGTGTCTGTTCAAGCTGTACAGAGCTACCGCTGCACCACAGAGCAGGCCAGGAGTGTGTGGCTCCCATTAGAGCTACTTTCTACTGCTTGTGCAGAGAAAGCACACATACCTGGTAGCTGCAGTTCCCATTTCTACAGACATTGTTATTTTCACTGGCACCTTCCATATCAGGAAATCTGCTGCTCTTGTACAAGTGTTCTTGCTCTTGTATTGCTGCCGAGTGCCAGCCTGCATGCAGTCCTGTCGGGTCTTATGGAGTTAACATCTGATGCCAGCCTCTGTGGGCACAAGACAAAGAAAATTCTGCTCTTGGGTTTAATGTGTCAGCTCTGCTTTTGGTGGAGCTGTAGAGATTCAGATCCCCCTCAGTGTAGCTTCTGTTGGGGGAGAGGTGAGACACAGATGCTGGGCAGAAAAAGGAGGGTTGTGCAGTTCAGCTTCCTGCCTCTCTTGCATTGATTTTTATAATGAACTGCAAGAAAGCTCTTGCTAATCTGACCTCCACTTAACTCAAGGTTGGTCATGTCCCCAGATAGCAATTCGTGTTAGGCTTCGCTTCACTGCTTATGCAAACAGGCCTATTTTTCTTGAAGGTTGCAGATGTTTCCTAAACCACCTGGAGAAATCAGCATGGTAAAGGATTTTAGTTTAAATCATCCTTGGTGTGCAGAGGAGGTAAAACAGAGGTCAAGGTATTGCCTTCTTGGGAAAATATGGTAGGATAACATTGTCCCTGCTAGGAACTGGACGAGGAATATAATTGTGTGGCAGAAATCTGCTTTCTTTTAGCTGTGTCGTAGGAGTGAAGCTTTTGGATGCTAGAAGAGCTTCCCAAGTGTAATTGTCCAGACTTCTGTTACAGCATTTCTCTGCCTTGTTGGAGCTGTTCAAGCCAACTGCCTTGCAACAACCCTTCCCCAGTTACAGGAATGAGAAATGGGAGTGATTCCATATAATTTGTTATGAATTTTCCATCAGCCTGCACCCACATAGTCTATTTGGGCCAGTGATCAAGCATGCTACAGGAGTCCATGACTGATACAGGAGAAGAATGTGGCCCAGTGTGCTGGAGAAAGCCAGTGATCAGTTTGTGTTTGCTGAAAACTGCTGTCAAAAAAGCACCCTGACTCATCAGTTAAGGAAATGTGTTGAGCATGGAGGGAAAGGAGGCGGGTGAGGTGTCTCCAGCATTTGTTATGCACTGCTGGGACACTGAGGTCACAGCCACATTGTTTGCTGAAGTCTGTAAGTTTCCGTTCTTCGCTCTATGTGTCTCAGTCATTTCAAACAGCTTAACTGCAAAGATTTTAGCCCGGCTGTGGATCCTTTTGCAGCAAACCTCCTTTTTTGTATGAGGATTTTCATGGATTGGAGCTTTCTCATGAAGTTTTAATCTATTTTGATTTGAAGATTGAAATACCAGTTTTCTCCAATTTCTGCCCTCACCCCTTGTCCAGCATGCGCTATCAGCTGGTTCTTGTTTGGCCTGGCTTTCTAGGGAAGACTCGTGTTCATAGAGTGTTCCCCCTTCCCGCTTATGTTTGGCCATTTTCTCCTTTCTCTTCTCACAAGAAGTAACTTCTGAGCCTTGGGCCAAATCAGCTGCATTTGGCAGAGATCAGGGTATGAAATGTCAACACTGTTGTGTTCCTGCAAATTTTGTGGGGAAAAAAAAAAGAGAAAGGTGTCTGGACATAGGAAGTCTATGCTAGATGTGTCACAAGATTGCAGTCAAAGCCGAAGCATTGTTAGATGCTGGCCTGGGGAAAAGCCTGAGTCAGCGCCTGCACTGTAGCAGATAGCCAGTCTCAGGAGTCCAGTCAGTAAAGAACAGGGTTTTGTCAGTCCTGCTGCTCAGACCTACGCACTAAGGACACATCTAAAGCCCAGAGATCCCTTCTGTAACATGGACATGTAGGCAAGCATTGCAACCTGTAGGAAAAAATGCCTTGGTCTAGGAAGAAAGCCAAGGGGAAGGGATTGCTTCTCTAATACTGGGAATTATTTCTTTTTATGCTTCATATTCCTGCTCTACACCAGCAAGCTGCTTCACAAATTCAACAGGATGGTTTTGAAAAGCATACAGAAAAGCTGTCATTTCATTCCTTGGACTCTTACTGTAGAACAGGTTTCTACAGAGAGCTGCAAACTCACAGAAGTAAGATGCTGAATATATCCCTGTGCCTATGCAACCTGCTGCCCTCAGCAGCAGGCAGCCAGTGCAGGTGGTGGGAGCAGGCAGGCCATCCCTAATGGGCTGTTTACGGCTGGCACAGCTTTTTACTTTTGCCCCTTGTATTGGTGGCAACTGGTGAGACAGTCAACACAACTCTGAGCAGAGCAGACAGCTTACTGAGCTATCCTCCCACTGCCTCCCAAATATCCATGAATGGTGTTACCTCTACATTTTAATTAACCTGGGCTACATAGAGAGACACTATTGTACATTATTAATATCCTTCTGTTCCCAGCAGTTTAAGAACTTGCTGGTAATGGCTGTGGCATGCAGCACAGGTTTGCGGGCTGCATGTTTTATTTTCCATCATTAAATGGGAAGGATGGGTTTGGCAACTTCTGTCCTACTTGCTGCAAAAGTAAATGTTGGTTATTGGGCAGAGTGGATGCTTGCTGATTTAAAATACCTTGGGCAGCTCTCCTGCCAGCTCCCCCATTAGCTGTGCAATTATGTGAACCTGAGGCTGCTGGCACTCCAAATTGGGAAAACACTGTCTCTCACCTGCATAGTTTGCTGGTGAACATTTTGGTGCTGCTTTAACTCACAGGTCAGCAGCATTGCTTTCTCACTTTTTCTTTGTACATGTTCCCCACTGACAGCAGGAGATACCTGTACAGTCTCACCCCTCAACGGTGCCATGTATGACCTGCCCAAAGTTTCTGCTAATTCTATGGAAGGGGCTCCCTGACACTGACCATTGCATACAGATATATCCTGATCAGCAGAGTGAAGCCTGCAGCTTATTGACTTCCTTTTTGTGCTCAGATCCTTTTGTAGCTTTGGGGCAAAAGGAATGGGGTAGAGCAGTAGTACCTTCAGGAAAGCACTTTGAACATACAGGACCTCACCCGCCTCCCAACCCCTTTTATCAAAAGTGGCAAGGAAGGTGGAAAAAGGCTTGTACTGAGAAGGAAAATCTCCATCACTTGTGGGTTATGCCACCGAGAAGTTAAACTGTTTAAATTACAATGGCAGCTCTTGCTGCTTCTTTCCACTTGTGCAAAACAAGAATTGCTGGAAAATATTCCAGGCATCTTTCTCTGGAGCCTGAGGGTATGATCCCATCTTGACACCTCTCTGTAGTTCAACTCAGGAATGGTTTTTAGCAATCCCTTTTCAAGTAGACAAAAGGCCTGTTTGACATCTCTTAGGATTCAATGCCAGGGTTTTGGTGGTAGCAGACAGAGAAGAGGAACTACCACATGAAAGAAAAAAAGATGAAGAAAGTGTTCTTCACATATGGAGGGTGGAGAAGGAGACAAGATAAGGGTTTCCATGGCAACATTTCTTGAAGATAAGTATTTTTAAATCTGTGTGAATTTTAGCATTGAAAACACAGTTGTGTTTTCCACAAAAAGATTTGGAGGAGGACTGGAGTAGGAAGAATTTTTCCCCCTGCTTTTCAGGTCATTCCAGTTTGTTTTACAGAGGAGCCTGAACCCAAGCTAAATGAAGTATGTGTGATTGCTATGATGTTAATGCTTCTGTAAAGAAAGCCTTGCTTCCAGGAGGCATAAAGCATCAGTCATAGTTCTATATCTGCACCAACATCTTTGGCGCAACCACTTGATCATCTCTTTAATGGGAAAAGTAGTTTAAATAAATCAAGGCTAGACCAGTTAAAAGTCACAAGGACAAATCTTGCAGGATTCCACATTAAAACTAGTGTAACTTGGCATGAAATCTGAATTATAATTGATATACAGATAGGTGATAGTAGTAGTAATGAGGTAGGTGAGACCTTTTGCCTTGGCCAAAGAGTGGAGGATGAGAACTGAAAAAGCAGAGAAACCAGCTAAAATGTGTCCCTGGTGTGTGTCCCAGTTACTTCAATGACAGCGAAACACCCCTGTAGGTGGACAAGTGATGCTCCAGTGACACTACTATGCAGGAAGTATTTGCTCTTGATATGAGGTTGGGGCCACCTCTGAACCTCTCTGAAGCTTCTCTGCTCCAGTCTCTGCATTGCTGAACAGCTCACGGGCACTGGCACGCTCTGCTGCCACCTCTCTGCTGGCATCCAGGCAGGTCAGCTCTGTCACAAGCCTGGCAGTGAGACATCCAATGCTGTGTGCCTGCTTGGCTGCCAACTTTGTAGTCTCACCAAAAAAGGCTATTTTTTTTTTTAAACAGTTGCTTCCAACTCAGTGGTGACTCAGACACTGCAGCAAGGGTAAAGTGATCATCTTCCCCTTCGAAGCTTTACAGCAGAAGGCCCTGGGTATCCTCTCTAAACGAGAGCTTGCTGAACCCCACCATCAACTGTATTCAGATCTTTAATTTAACTGATGGAACGAGATGATCCAGCAGTCCTGTGTACCTGCTGGCTCAGGGCTTGTGTTTCAGCAATAGACTAAATGATTTCTACAAGTACTTTGTATTCAGAAGCCCTGGGGAGGAGAGACTGGGAGAGAATGAATAGTCACATATAAAAGAGAAAGGGGCAATTCACCCATTAAGGCTCTTTCACTGACCAAATTTCCCTGGGCCATGAATCCAGGAAAGGAACAAAAATACATTGGAATAGTAAGAGAAAAACAGTCATATTTTGCTATTTATCCTTTGGGGTGAGGTACGGGAAGCAAATAAGGGTGTCTAAAAAAGCATAATTCATACTGTCAAAAGCATGGAAATTGGTACTGTGAGAAAAATCTCATTTATTGAATTTAGAAAGACGGCAAAAGTTTGCAAAACAAAAGGAATAAAACGAAAAGGAAAAATTACAACACGTGTTGGGTGTCCTAGGCACGCAGGATTCCCAGGAACACCCCTTCAATTCAAAAGTCCCGCTTTTTAAACATTCTTAAGGTTCAACCCCGTTTACGTCATAGAAGAGGCGTTCCCCTCTTTCTGGTTGGCTGTGTCGTGCTGGGAGGTGGAGTGTCCAGCAGCATGGCAGCTTCCAGGACCAGCCATGTGGTATAAGGGGTTTCCTTACCAATATTCATTTACAGTTCCCCTATTCCCGTTCGCATGTTTCCCTGACACCGGTTCCAGGCTGAATCCGGCGTCTTACAGCTCCGCGATAGGCCCTATAGGTTAGTAAAGAAAAACTCTTATGTTAGTGATTTGCTAAATTCATTTGCTTGTAATAAAACCGATTCTTTATTTCCCACAGCACCTAGTAGTATTGTTTCATACAGAAGAAGCAAGGCTCAGATCTAGCTAAGATGACTTGTCAACTTCCCTACATCTTCATCGATAGAACCTACCAGCAGCAGGGAAAAAAGCTGCACTTCTTATGTTACTGTTGGATCCTCCATAAAGATTCACTGTTGTCAGATACATAATTTCTAATTCTGGGAATAATATGATGCCCTGATGTTAGCACTAAAGTGAAAATGCATACTCTGGCTTTGTAGTTTCTTGGACTAAAAAGCAACTGACTTGCTCATGTAGGACTTGTTAGGTGTTAGTTATTGATTATATCATGTTTATTCTGTCTCTTCCTTTAAGACCACTGTGGTATTTTGTGCTGCACTCTGATGCTTTAGCTCCTTACAGCTGAACTGGAGATGCAGGAAAACTGCCATACCTAAATAACACAAGTGCAGCAACTTCAGTGCCTGCTCAGCAGCCTTCAGTATCCAGTATCCAGAAGCTGACTCTTACTCACTCCATCCGTGGATGCATGTGAGCCAGCCAGGCACAGTGTCAGGACTCAGTGGGCGTTAGACAGCACTGATGGGATTGCTGCTGTGCAGGGGAGCGGAAGAACTGCCTTGTTGCACCATGTACGAGTGTTCTTACACAGCTCTGAGCTTTCACAAATGCAGTGTCCAGGCCAAAAAGACTTGCTTTCTGGCAACTTGTCTACCACCTGCAGCTGTCCTACTTGGGGATAAAGGTGTGGTAGATTTGTTTCTGAACGTGCCCTGGCTTTATGAGGGGTCTCTCCTGCTTTTTCAAGCCCTTCCAGAAGTCTGAATGGGAAAAAGGTGCCTTGAGAGGAGAGGAGTGAGCTGTGTGAGTTAATGGGAGCTAGCAGGGATGCCTGCAAGAATACACCATCACATATGATGGGAAACCAACTAGACCAATGGTTGCAGCTGCCCCACATTCAAGATATTTGGGAACAGAGAGGGTGTTTGAAGTACTTAGTTCTTCTGCTGTGCAGAATTCATACTAAATTTGACAGGGCCTGTGCCTTGATTTGATGATACCGTTCTCCTAAAAGGAAGAAGCAAATTGATTGCTTGTTAACAGAATGCTCTAAATTAACCTCAGGCCTGGGCCTGGCCCTGCAAACCTTTGCATGACTGTGATTATTATTTATGCTGTATGATTGCATTGAATACCGCTGACTGTTCAATATATTGGCCTGGCACAGCTGCGCTGAAATTTTAGTTGTGGCTTTCGGTTGTTGGAAATGAAATTTTTGAAGCTGTTTAGGTGTTTGGATTTTGAATACCCCATTAAGCACCTACTTGACTATTTAAATGCCTAGATGTCTTTGTACATCTAGTGTTGCCATAATGCAAAAAAAAAGGAAATGATATAGAAGGTTTGCTGGGTCAGGCCTCTAGTTTCATATCCCAGCAGTGATAACTAGGTATATACACCGTAGTTCACCGCAGACGTCTCTTTTGCTTGAGGAATCTTGATGGAGACTTTTACATAGTAGAGATAAAAATACTGCAAACATACATCCTGCATTAGCCTTTATATATTTTATAGCTGTACTGTTCTAGTGTGGTAAACTGAGCTGAGCAATCACATTTTTTCAATTATCCTCAAGAACAGGAAATCCTTATCACCTCTGTGTTTCTTTCTCCCACTACTGCAGCATTGGTCTTGAAATTGTCACCACAGCTCAAAATCCTCATTCTGTAAATTAAACTGTGATTTAAAAAAATTTTACAGTACAGCCTCCTCATAAAACTCCACAAGTCTTTTACTGATGTGACTCACTCAATTACTCATGTGGGCAGACGTTCAGATAATAAAAGTGGTTAATGGAAAGCTATGAGAAATACTGCTGGTTCCTGAGGAGGCAGCCAGGGGGAAGGCTACTGTGGGTATTTTATCCTAAGAGCTGCTGAATTCACTGAGCTCCCAGCCATTTTTTTAAGATAAGGATTTCTCCGTTCTGCTTTTTCCTTTGTATAAGAACAGCTTGAGAAATCAAACTGGCAACAGAGAAGCAAAAGCACACCAGCTGTACATGTTTGCTCTTCTGCTCCTCTTCCTACATATTAGGGATGATAGCCAGCCTGTGCCCTGAAAAAATCTCTTTATCCTAGTGATGTATGTACCTAAACAACACTCAGTACTCTAATGAGCTCTGGATTCCTGAATCAAGGAGTGGAACTAACAAGTAGCTAAATAACCCCTTTGTTTGGAGGTGTCACATATACTGACAAGGATCAGATTTTTCTGGAATTAATAATAGTGTCTTGACTTTGGTGTGCAATAGGTCAGGTAATACATCTAGAAAGCAGGTTTCAATGACATTTCAGTGAGTGCACATTAGAGGAATATGGCACATTTTGAAGTTGGTGAGGCAGAAAGGTACTGAAGAGTAGTAAGGTACCACTTAGATGTGAGAGCCCCCTTACAAAATGAAATTATACATGTATGATGACTTCAAAGAGACTTAGAATTAAGCCAAAACTGGAACTAGCATAAGTGGACCAACTGATTAGAGCTAAGGCCTAGCTGGCATTTGCAAAACAACCAGAGCAGTTAACTCTTGGTTGTGTGGCTCTGAGGCTGCTAGATTTGCCTACAAATGGCTGTGTGAGCCCATTCCAACAACAGTGCTGGATATAGAAAGAGAGAGGACATGAGGATATGCTCATTTTTCATGCAAAATGAGCTGCAGGGAGAATATGGCTTGACTTGTAAAATAGAGCTTCTGGCACAGAGAAGCAGTGCATGGATGTTGAGGCTCTGGATCAGAGAAAGTAAGCTGTCAAATTATATTTAGCGACTACATGCTGCAGGAAAGCGCAGAGAGGGAAGGAGGGAACTATTGCGTAGCTGGGCCCCATGGGTAGTGAGCACACAGAGCAGGGAATGAGGCTGTTCAGAGAGGATGAATTGCCTTGGTGTTCCTGATTCAAAGAAATCTCTGTGTGAGGCCAGGGATCTGCACAGATTTGTATGACTACTTTGATCAGCAGAACTCTGCTTTATTTATCCCCAGACTCCATCAGGTGAAGAGTGACCAACTTGTGGCCTTCCAGACATTCCCTCTGCCCTCACCCTAGGGATGTTTCCCACAGCAATGCCATTCCCAGCTGCGGAAGCAGTAGTCTGATGGGGGCTCTTGGAACCAATATCTCAAACTGCTGTACAGCCCAGCTGCACACCTGGCTCAGTCCCAACCCATCAGAAGCTTGTTAGCTAAGGTTGGCATCTGCAAAATAGGTTACCCTGCTCCATTTGAATTCAGGGGTGTGAGTGCTCCATTGTGTTCCCTGGAAAGCCCAGTTCTAAAGAGATGAAGGTGGAAAAAAAGTCCTTATACCTGTATGAGATAGATCAAACCTTGTATGCTGACATGTGACAGTTGATCATTCGGGTCCTGTCTTATACTCCAGGGTGCAGAGATTGTGACTGACTAGTTTATAGCAGGATGGGTACAGCTTAGGCTCTAATTCTTTCCTGCTAAAAGCTGACTTGTATGATTCAGAAATGTCTTTGCCTTTGAAATAAATAAGGCCTTTAAGCTCCCTCTCAGAGGAGACTGTGGGGAGGCCTGGCTGCCTTCTCTGCATAAATATTTCTGTCAAACTGGATTCAGGCTGAGGTGGGTGAAACTGCTGCACCAACTGGGAGCCATCGACTTCCATCTCCTGTTAGGCACTACTGCATCATTGAGATTTGTGTTGTTACTGTACTGTCAAAAATAGCTGTGAGTGAGAGAAAGGGCTGAAATGCTCCCATGTGTTCACCAAGCAGGAGGGCAGAGCAGTTAGGAGAAGGAGAGAGATGCAGATTGTGATAGTGAACAGAAGATGTGCAAGGAGGAACTGCCTTCACAGTCTCATGAAAGGGTGGCCATGATGCGTGATGGAAGGAGGAAGGATGACTTCACAGATGTAATTTATTATACTTCCTATGCAAGGGAGTTATGCTAGTTCCAGAAAGAACACACATTGGTTTGGTGGCTCCTAAGAATATGCAAGGTCATTACATTTTTTAAAAGTGGTTTACATGGTAAAAGCATGATTACCACATGGTAAGATTAGAAAAGCAGGATTAGAAAAGCTCCAGGGAGTGAGTTCCTGGAGTTCTATGAGTACCTAAAAATCTGAACTTTGTTACATACAGGGAGAAACAAAGACCTCAGAGAATGGTTCTACCTGTTCTAGCTGCTGCAGATCAAACTTGAAAATGTGAAAAAAGCATCAGTAGGTCGGTAACATCTACTCCAGTCTGTAGTGAGCAAGAATCAATAGTTCAGAAAGGATGAATTTTCACATATGCTGTACTGGAGCATTAACTCCTCTATCTACCCTTTAGGGGCTCAGCAGCCATATCAGATCCTACCCGGGAAAATGCCATAGGGTCAGGATAGGGTGGAAAATAACTGACAATTGACCTGGGTTAGCATCTTAGAGAAGGAATACCAGCAGGAAAGAAAAACAAATTAGAGTGGTTTGTTCTTTCTTCCTCTGCTCCTTGAGTGCTTGTCGTTTGAACCCTTGGAGGGAAACTGATGAGCAACTACGCTTTGTGCTGGTTTCTCTTTGAGGCCATTTGTTGCCTGTTTTCTTTTTAAGTCTGAAATGTTAGAAAGAGATCATTATTTTTCCTATTTAGCTTGACCTCTTCCTTCCTGGGAAAGTTCCTCCCCTTGTACTGCTCTATTCTTTTCACACAGTGCTGTGTTGAAGTAAAGTTCAACAGAAAACTTGAATTCCTAGAAAAAATATTGGGACTTGGAATGAGACTTTCCCTCGAACAGACACTGAAACTCTGCAAACATATCCTGACTCTCTCTGGAGGTGCTGTGAGGTATCAGATGTCAACCATGCAAAATGAAAATATGTGCATTGCTGAAATAACAATGTTAGGGCAAACACTTCCATGAGATGGGAACTACTCTGTGGGTCATCTCTTCTACCTTTGTGCAGCAAGCCCTCTACTCAGCTGCAGTTTCTCCTAAGGAAAGAGGTTATCTGTGGTTACAATCTTGATTGCCCAGCAAATTGCTGAATGCCTGAGGAAGCAGGAGGAGAATGTGCAGCTTCAGGCTGTGTGGGTTTTTCAATCTGGTTTACAGTGAGCACTGGAGGTTGAGTGTATAAGATGCCTCCAGATCCTGACACCATTTGTTGTGGCATTGGACAGATGCATCCTGTGCTGGGAGGCCACCCCTGGCATTCTGGAACAGCTGTGGGAGTTAAATAAACTTCTGTTTGCTTCAGGTGCTTTGGATCATGAGACTGGCAAAGGCTGGCCATCCCAGCAGAGGCAGATCCAGACACTGTGAAGTGAGCATGAAGGCATGACTGTGTCTTTGTTGAGGCAGTGAAGATACATACTTCAGTTACAGATTATTTTCTTCACTCACCCAGTTTTCCTTCCCTCTCTCCACTAAATGTTACCTTTCAGCTAAAGGGCCGATATATATGGTCAGTACACATGACCAGAACTTTGGTGTCAGAGTCCTTTGTCCTTTATACAGCAGCAAATCTGCTCCATGTGATGGAACAGCACAGGGATTTTTTCTTTTGTTTCTACTGTTTACAAAATGTGGGGAAAAAAAAGTTAAAGGAAAAATGGTTATAAAACTAGAGCAGAGTTATAGAAATGTGTGAACTGAAAACCTGCAGGAGGATCTGTTTGAGATCTGACCTGGTCATTTGTCTAAAGAGGATGTTTACTCACGCCACCTGATGTGGTGACTGTGCTGTCCAGTTCTCCATAGAGCAAAGTAAATGGAAGAGGCTTTTGGCTGTGATTTCTTACTGTGGTGAAAAAATAGGTGGCCTTTGAACTACCCCATTATTACTTTTCTCTAATAAAGAATTGGTGATTCAAACTGTATATGGGACACCCACGCAGAGTTCCCAGCTGGAAGATTGCACATGACCAAAGGGTTGGTTCATCTGTGCAAACTATTGTGAGGAGGGAACTCCCTTGGGTGATGGGCAGAGGTAAAAACCTAATGCATGAAAGAGAACTTGGAAGAATAGTGGTCTCACTGTGCTTTTGAATCTTGACCTCCAATATAAACTCTCTAGACTGCTTGCTTTTCTATTTTCTAGTGACTGTTTGAACAGCACCTTTAGGTGGAAAATACGTTTGCTTCTCAGTCTTAAAGATACTGATCTAAGGGAAAATCTTGCACAAAAGGATTGAGGAAAAGTTAGAAAAGTTAAAATGTGTAATAAATTAGGGCTGAGAGAATATAAAAAAATAGGTTAGCACATCACTTGACAGATGGGAAGTCATTTATGTAAATTTAGGGAAGTAGTGGTTGGATTCAATTGGTCTAATTTCAACGCTATTTCTAATTATTTTTGGTATGTATACAGAGGATTATATGATGACCATTATTCTGACAGGAAGGCTCTTCATATTTAAATTTAAATCTACAAATTATTACCCTATTAAAATGTAAACATGCTGTGATAACAAGCACCTGATTATGCAGACAGGTTAGTCCAGCTACTCTGGTGAACAGCTGTGTGCATGTATTTCAGATAATGCTTTTTTTTAAAGCCTAAAAACCACAAGCAAGCCATTGAGAGGTCAAGAGATGTCTGACCCACAGGTGGGAGCTGCCTGTAAGGAGGTTTGCTGGCACTGAGTGCAGATCTGAGAGCAGATGGGCTCTCACAGGTTTCCACTGAAAGCAGGCCCTGGCGGCACCCAAAAGTACAGAGAAGATGACACAATTAACAATTCCCCCTCCCTACAGTCTGGTGCTGCTAATCCCAAGTTAAAACTCCTAACAGCATCTTTGGAGAACCTTCCTCTTTACATCTTGACAATTTTCTCCTTTTTGCCAAGAGAAAGATCATGTAGGTTTACTGGGAAGCTGCCAAATGACAGCTTGACTTCACACCTGAGAAGCAAATGAATGAGGAGAGAAGGAAAGCCTCAGCCTGGCTCCAGCCTGGCACAAACACAAAGAGTCCTGGGAGCGTGGGCATGAGCAACCCCTGGAGCTGCAGCAGCAGCAGATGTGACATGAGCAGAGTCCAAGCTGAAGCTACTGTGGAGGAGGGAGCATGGGGCCCATTACCAAACTGCGAAAGAGTTATCATCAGCTGCAGACCCTAGGGTGAGGTGGAGACCTGGCCATGGATGATTCTTGGAGGTGTGGGACAAGGCTTGGAGCTCCACACTGTACAGCAGCCCTTCTTGAGTTGATTTGGCTGGCTTTCCTTCCCAGAGCCATTGCAACAAAGGCTCAGATCAGCTCTCTCAAAAGGTGCATTAACAATCAGCAGGGGAGCTGACAACCATGATTTATTCTTTAACTACCCCAAAACTGTATTTTTGGATGTGTAACTCATGGTTTAAAAACTGTGGGGGTAAAGGGCACCAAGAACGAGGCTTCATAACACTCACTTCTTCAAACCTTGTGGTTTTAGGGCAGAGAGTGCCAGACTCTGTTGAGGGGAGCTGCAGGTGGCCTGACTCCATAGTGGCACAGCCCTGCACTGGTGCGGGTGCTGGGGGACAGTGTGGGTGCTCATGTGCAGTCACCTCTCTCCTCCCCACACACATCATGGCAGAAAGTCTCTGGTAGAGTGTTCTGGGATTCTTAAGCCTTTATGTGAGATTAAGACTACTGCAGCTGTAAAATATGAATTGCTCTTGGCTCTTTAACTGCCTGTAGAAAAGTCAAGTACTTGAAGTTTTGAATTTTAGTCCACGTTTTAAAATGGGAGAAAAATGCTTTGCATATGAATTTTTTTTCAGCAGTATGATGATCACTGTGCCTGACTCATCCTTCATATGGGTGAACTAAGCAAGCTAAAAGAAATATCCCTCAGGGCAGGGATTTCTATCTCATTTTTCTTTTAAGGGAAGAAACTTCCAAGGACTGGCCCCAAAGACTACCAGGTTGTTGGATGACCCCACCAGGTATTTGCAATCTGCAATTCTAAAGTCAGCAGGAGACCAGGCATATCTGGCTGGATGCCTTTGCAACAGCTCTCAAGGCAAGAGAACAAGTTCCTCTAGTACGAGGTTGATGCACAGGTCCTGCAGTGCTGGATCTTCTCTGGTTGACTAGCACAGAAGTGTCTGTAATGTGAAGGCTGGGAAAGTGTCAGGCTGTTGTGTCACTGTGTAAGGGACTGCATATAACCCATGGCTGCACTACAGAGGCAGCCAGAGCTTTGTGGAGCCTCATGGGAACATGAGGTGAGTAATCACAGCTGCAATTCATTTCAAAGAGGCAAGTGAGCGCCCTGGAGAAAGCAGGGACACTTCTGCTGAGGGCGTTTTTTGGGGGGGTGGGGAAAAGGCTATTTTTCTGCTCAGGTGGAAGAATTAAGTGGGAAAGCCTTGCACGTTCCTCGAAGGGTAGGCATTTTCATCTCAACTGTAGAGTGACTTCCCTGGCATATAAAGGAAGTCAGTATTAAAGCCAGGAACTGACCGAACAGACCTCCCAGCTCATGGCTTTAGTGCTGTGCTGCAGCCACGAGGCTGTCCTTGCTCTGTTTCTGCTGACCCTTCACTATGTGCTTTTCTCGGTTAAAGCTGCAAAGCTGCTTGGCAGCTGAGATTTTACCCTTCCTCGCACCCCGTACAGCAGTAGCTGCACAGAGGCGCGAGGGTCTGACTCCGGCTCCCGTGGTACTCAAAGCTCCCGGGGTACCAGCAGAAGCGGCGGCAGCCCCATGCTCTGGGAGGGGCGCTGCCAGCGACCTGCCGTTGGGGAAATCGACTCAAAGTGATTAAAACAGCCAAGACTCTCTAAAAAGAAAAGATGCGTAAATATTTATTACGACTCGGAGTACCGGCGCAGTGCGGTGGCCGAAGCAGCTCAGATGCTGGAGGGGAACGGACACGACAGGGACCGCGGCTCCGCCGCTCGCGCTCGCCTCACGCCCCAGCCCCGCTCCTCCCGGATGTCGCTCCCCGCGCGCTGCCGGGACGGAAGTGGGCGCGCGCGGGGGGCCGCGCAGGGCGGCGCATGCGCGGGAGGCGCCGTGCGGCCACGCCCCGCCCCCGCCGCGGTGGGGGTCTG